TGCGCCAAGGTCGCCTTCGTGAAGATGGACAACGACAGTCGCGTGCGGAGGGCCAAGCTGGCGAGATCGACACCTACGAGAGGGCCGTTCCCTGTGGGCGCCTACGTCAACTTCAGGCGCACCCATGTCAGGCCGGGTGAGTCTCCTGCCCTGTATCATTGTTGGTTCGGTGTTGCGCGTGTCATCGGCCACGACTACCGCGACCCCGAGAAGATGGCGGACGGCATCGAGTCCACGCTCCGACCTGCGGCCGTGCAGGGGAGCCCTCGCGCGATTTGGCTACGGTATGGCGGCGGCGCGGTCTTGGCAAGGCCGGAGCAGCTTCGGTTCGCGACGGAGGACGAGTTGATCACTTGGGATCGGATGCCTGCTGATCAGCGTGGAGCGGCACTTCCACGCGGGCCTCGAGGATTCCTGGACGTTCGTCGCGAAGGTCTCGAGGACGGAGCACCTGAAGATCCCGAAGCTGCTGCGCTACCAGGCAGGGAACCTACGGCGGCTACTGCCGCGACTGGTCCGCGCCCGGAGCCTCCAGCGTCGAGAACTACGGAGGCGCCGTCGGGCAGTGCACGGCCTGCCGAGGGAGCTGACACGGCGAGCTCACCACTACAAGGGCGCGACGCAGCTCAAGATGATCCGCGACCTGGGGAGGATCTCACTCCCGGAGTTCCAGAGCATCAGCCAGCAGCTGAGCTACCTGAACCAGTTCTACGTCAGGGACACGACCCAGCACCTGCTGGACTTTATCCAGGATCTGGCGACGCTGGAGAGGGAGAAGTGGAGGAGATGAACGAGGATAACGACGCGACGGCGACTCCACCTCCTCCTGGACTTCCCGAACCTTCCGAACTCCCAGATCTCCCAAGACTTCCCGAACCACTTGAATTACCTGAACAGCTTCCTGGATACGGGCCCCAGCGGACCCGCGCTCGACTACTTCGTGGTGGCGGCCCCATGGCCGGTGGAGCGTGCCTTGCTGAGTACCACTCGGATGAGGTGTACCATGGCTGGATAGCCTATGCGTGGTTAACGGGACGCTCCCGCGGGAAGGAGATCAACCTGACGGACCTGACCAAGGCTGAGCGGAAGGAGTTCGACGCGAGCATGGCCAATGAGTGGGAGAACTGGCGTAACCTCAGGGCGGTGACCGTGGTCATCGGAGACGATGCGAAGGAGCTGCTGAAGAGGGCGAAGCCTATTCCGTCGAGGTGGGTTCACACCAACAAGAACGAGTACGACCCCAAGCTACCGCTCAAGGCGAAGGCGAGGCCGGTGGCGGCTGGCTGCTACGAGTCGGTGCATGTCCGGACGGATTCGCCCACATCTTCCCTGCTGGTGTTCCACTTGATCTGCAGCACGGCGGCTAGGAAGCACTGGCTACTGTCGAAGCTCGACGCGACGAGCGCCAACCTACAAGGAGATGATGTTGACCGTATGCTGGTACTACGACCGCCCTCACCACTGCCTCCTGGAGTGCCACCTGGTTCCCTGTTCGTGTGCCACGGAGCGATCTATGGCACTAAGGACGCTGGACGGAAGTGGTGGAATAAGCTACGAAGGACGCTGCGCGGCAACTCGTGGCAGGAGAGCCGCTTGGAGAGAGCCTTCTCCATGCTCTTCGAGGGTGATATCCTCGTTGGCCTTATCGGCACATACGTGGGCGACCTGTTCGCGACCGGAGATCCGAACCGCAAGCTCTACAACGACACGATGGACGAGCTCAAGAAGGCACTGCTCTTGACGGAAGAGAAGCCACCCTTCAGGTACTGCGGCAAGGACGTGGAGCAGGCAGGGGACTTCTCGATCAGGGTCTCGACGCAGCACTTCGTGGAGCAGATGGAGGAGTTGCCGATGCTACCGGCAAGGCGGAAGCAGATCAAGGCACTGGCTACGGACGAAGAGAAGAGCTTTGCGGAGTCGGTGGTTGGTTCACTGGGATGGCTCTCGCGACAGCTGCGGATGGACGTTTCTTTCGGCTAAAGTTGGCTCGCGCAGCAGAAGAACACCGTGACGGTGCAGGACCTACTGGAGATGAACAAGCTGGTGCGGTACTGGCGTGAGACGAAGAACGTGTGCCTACACTTCCGTAGCGACTTCATCAAGAACGACACCGACCTTCGCGGGTGTGTGTTCGCCGACAGCAGCCTCAACAGTATCGACGAGAAGAAGTTCGGAGCGCTGGGCGAGAAGGTGAGGTCGCAGTGCGGTTTTGTGTGTCTGTTGTGCGACGACGGCCTGCGCAAGGAAGGCGGTGGACCTGCTCATTTTTTGGACTGGGGCAGCTCCAAGATTCGGAGAGTCTGCCGGGCATCGATGGCGGCAGAGGCCCACGGCTTGACCGAAGGCGCGGAGGCGCTGGAGTGGGTCAGGGCATTGTACTACGAGATGGACAAGCCGAACCAGCCGATCGCAGAGTTGGTTCACGACAGTGCGACGTTGATGCCCGCCAAGTGGTTCGACGACGCTAACAGCTTGGTGAGCCACTTGTTGGCGGACGCTGGCCAGGTCGCCGACCGCCGGGTTCGAGTGGTGGTGGCCTCGCTTCGAGAGCTTCTAAGCCAAGATGGAGACGACCTGGAGTGGTGCGACACCAGTGTGCAGCTCGCAGATGCGCTGACGAAGCTCGAAGCGGAGAGAAGCTACCTGACGAACGCCATGCGCGACGGCTGCGTGACGACGACTGTCTCCTCCGAGGCGGCGACCACGAAGGAGGCCATGCGTGCTGCACGGCGGCGCCGTGCTGATGAACGCAGGACCCAGCCCGTTGCATCTGTGCGCGAGAGCCTGTCCTGTGCGCTGCGTGCCCCGCGCGGGGACCAGCCCCGCGTGGCCTTGCGATCTACCTAAATCGCCTTTCATATTTGGCCCAGCTGGGCCGCTTCCGTATCAATGCAGCTATGCTCGGGATTTCGAGTTTCGGGCCAGTATGACAGCGAGGACGGGTGTTGAAATGGGCACTGTCTCCCTGGCCCCCCGAGATGCCCCTCTCACGCCGACGCCGATTCGACCGCAACCGCTTCGGTTTCAGAGCTCTTGAGTTTCGGGCAGAAAATACTTTCAGCTTTCTTGCGACGGCGGCAGCCGTCAGTTGAGAGGCTTCCCAAGGCTCACCGACAAGCATAACTTTATGCTTGTCATTTGGTTTTTGGTTGATTCCAGCGCTTCTGTATTTTCAGCATCCAGGCGCCCCAACACGGTCCTGGACGCCCCAAGTATCGTCGCCCCAGACGGCCTCAGAAGCGCTCGAGCGGCCGCTGAAACGGCTGAAACAGACGCTTCATGGGCGTCCTGGGCCTCCGGGGACGCCCCCAGACGGCCCCACCAGGGTGCCAAGAGGCTCCAAGAGGCTCCAAGAGGGCCGAGAATCGCGGACATCCCTTTCCAAAGCGCCTACGATGGCTTCTGGACGGCCCACGGGGCCTCCAACACGCCCCAAGAAGCTCCAAGATGCGTCCCAAGAGGGCACCAGGAGGCAACATGAATGGATTATCCTGAGATTTTTAATGGATTTCAGCGTTTCTCCATTGTCGGCTTATCGACGCTCCAACGCCCCAAGTATCGCCCCAGCACGGCTTCAAAGGCCCCCCAAGCGGCCGCCGAGACGGCCGAAAAGGGCGTTCCATACGTGATCCCCGGCTTCTGGGGACGCCCCCAGACGGCCCAAGACAGCCCCCCAAACAGGACGCCAGGGCTCCACGGGGCCCCAAAACGCCCCTTAAGGGCAGAGAATCGCCGAAATTCCGCTCGAAGACGGGGACGATGGCTTCCAGAAGGCCCAAGAGGCTTCCAAGACGCTCCAAGACGCCCCCAACAGGGCTCCCAAGAGGCGCCCAAGACGCACAAGCGATGGATAGCCCATTCAGTTTTGAAGGCTTTGGGAGTTCTTACCTTTTCGGCTTGGTGACGCTGTAAAACGGCCCAGGAAGCCGCAAGTATCGCCCCATGACGGCCTCCGAGGCCCCCAAGCGGGCGCCGAGACGGCCCAAGAGGTGCCCCAGACGGCTCTGGAGGCTTCGTGGGCGCCCCTCGAGATCCGCCGTGGCGTGCTTCCGAATTTTCCAGCGGTTGCCGCCGTCGTCGCCGCGCCGTCTAGAGTCGAATTAGCAATCGGGAATTTTGCGGCAAAACCTAAGCGAGCGCGAAGCTGCGTGGTTGAGACCAATGCTGGCGACGGAAGCAGTGTATGATGATTTCGCGGTCCCGACGGAGCTCGTCAGAGATACAGCGTGCTGGAATTCTCCGTCTGCCAATATTATCTGTATTAATAGTAGTATCACCATTAACCGTATTATTAATATTACTAGCACTGTCAGTAGTATTAGTATTACTATTATTACTATTATTATTATTGTTATTTTAGTGTGTTTGTATATGTATGTATGTGTGTATATATATAAACATACATACATACATCTGCACGTCCAGGGTCTTCGGGTTTTGTTTTTGTTTTCTTCACATCCTTATGTGGATAACTCTGGTAGCATCGTTTCGTACATGGTTTGCGTGGTATTGCCACCCTTGACGAAACATGTTGGGAAAGGGGGCTGATGATGTAGGAGGAGGAGGAGGCTATTGCTTCACATGTGCCTGCAGCATACTCTGGTTTCTATACTTTTACATACTTCTACAGCTGCGTGGCGCCTTCCTTGGTTCCGCACTGTTACAAGGCGTAGGCTTGCTGTATTTGTTCCATCACATTATCGTTCCATGCTGTTGCATCAAGTCCGCACAACGTCAAAACATTACTTTTCTGGGTATCGTGGCATGGGAGCGGGGCGCAGTGCTGCGCGCGCAGCTCGAACAACTCCACAGAATGTCCCTAGCGCTGCCGCTTTTCTGAAGCCGAAAAGGGGGGGAGGAAAAGAGAGAAGGGAAAGAGGAAGAGGAGGAGGAGGAGAAGGAGGAGGAGGAGGAGGAAGAGGAGGAGGAGGAGGGAGGGTTTTCCAGCGAACGGCGCGCACAGTACACTGCCAGTGCTGCCTCCCTCCGCCCCTTGCGAGGAAACGCCTCCTGAGGAGGAACGTCGTGGGGGTTTTCTCCGGCCTCCTGCAGGCAGGCGCGCGCAGTCCAGCGCATTCCTTTTCCTCCATCATTCCTCGTCCCGGAGCGCGTATTCGTAATGAACATGCCGAGGGGCACCGAGGCCGTCGGGCCGACTCGTGACCTGGGCGATCAGGAGAGTCGCATCCCCAAGCTGCGCGTTTCGTGCTCGATGTGTTCATCAGGACCGTTTTCCGTGGGGTCTCACGGTATATTCCCTCTCCTGTCATCTCATTACTTCATCTCATTACTTCTCCCTCTCGCCCTCCAGGAGGAGGCGGAGGAGAAGCAAAGGAGGAGGCCCACCGAGCGCCGTCCAGTCGTGGGGCCGAGCTGCAGCAGCGGGCTCCGCCCTGTCCGGCCCGCGTGCCGTCCTGGCCGGTCCAACTGCGGGCGTGACGGCGCACGGGCCAGGAGGCGCGGTCGCCGAGGGAGTCCTCCTCCTCCTCCTCCTCCTCCTCCTCCTCCTCCTCCTCCTCGTCCATGTCCTCCTCCTCCTCTTATCCTCCTCCTCCTCCTCCTCCTCCTCCTCCTCCACTTCCTCTTCCTCCTCCTCCTCCTCCTCCTCCTCCTCCTTCTCCTCTGCTTCGCCGGCTTCGGCAACCAGACGGGCCTCCCCGCCTGAGCGATGCCGCGCGCGCACACGGGGGTCCCTCGCGCGCACCCGCCGCGCCGACCGCCCGGAGACTGCTCGCTTGCGCCGAGTGCGGGAGGCTCCTCCTCCAATTGTGTTTTTTCTTTGAAAAGCTTCTACCTGTCGTGCCGCCAGACTTGTCAACAGGGCGGGCCCGGCGTTTCGCCCAAGGTGTCCTAACCGATTAGGATCTGGACATTTGCAGCAGTTTCAGGGAAGGGGGTGGGTAGATTGTGGCACGCGCTGCAACCCCGCAGACATTCGTCTTAAAAGTTCGAAGCCGTGTTGCTGATGGAAGGTGGGTGGTTTTCAACATGTGGTTTCCGCCATAGCCCCGCACGCATTCGTTTCCAAAGCTCGCAACAGCTGCACGGATGGAGGTGTGGCCAATTTCAAAATGGAGTTTGCATTTCAGTGCCGCGCGCCTTCATTGCAAAAACCTGCAACATCTTCAAGGATGGTGGGCACTTTTTTTCAGATTGGCTTCGCACCTTAGCGCGCGCCGCGCGCAATCGAACGAACAGTTTGCAGCATTTACATGAATTGCGGGCGACGCCTTATCAAAGCAGGACGTTCGCTGTATCATCGTTTCCCTGCCTATTTCATAGCCAGAAAAGCTCCTCGGCTCGGAAGGGCGACGTGGATACGTCGAGACCCGCTGCAAAAGAGGGGGAGAGAGAGAGAGAGAGGGAGAGAGAGAGCCCTCGTCTCCGCGTCTCGTCGTTCCCCTGCGAGTCTTAACGTGGAAGGCTTGGACACACCTGACAGCAGCAGGAGAGCTGTCCTGGCAAGCTCGGAGGGGTCGAGGAGACGGCCCAGCCGCCATCATCCTCTGTTGGCGGATGAAAGGCGGATCCTTCTTCAAAGTTGGCGTTCGCTCGAGACGCTGCGCGGACGGAGGGCCGTTCGTACTCAAACGGGGGTTCCCGAACGAGGACTGCGTCCGCGCTCGTACCCTGGCGCAGTGATTGCGCAGACAGGGGCGCCCTGGTTTTACCAGGGTGTTGGCTCCATTTTGGCCTTTTGGGGGGCAGCGCTAATTGAGACCCCCCCTGCTTTGATCGATCTCCTCCGAGATGGCCCCACGAGCGCTCTCAAGGCTCCCAAGGTTGCCCCAAGAGGGCCCCAAAAGGTGGCCAGGAGGCCCCAAGAGGCTCCCAAGAGGCCTCTTTTCCATCCGAAGCAGATCGTTCATTTTCAAAGCGCGGCTTTCGCCTGACTGGGCCGTTGGTCGTCCAAAGGGGCGTCTATTGAAGCGGAGAGGGAGGCTTGCAAGGACGAGTGCGGAGGGAGCTTGGGACGGGATGGTGTATTGCGGCATCGTTGATACATCGTGGGTCTATGGTCTTGCCTCCACTACTTCGTCACATTCTCGCTGTCCTCCTGTTCCGTATTCCTCCTCTTCCGTCCTCCTCCGCCGCATGCGCGGTCGTTCAGGCCACTGGGCAGCGCTGGTCCCGCCAACGGGCCCCACAAACTGAGGGAGGCCCTCACGTCCCACAACATGCGGGTTGCGTAGAGGTTTCGGCGAGGGTGGAGCAACCCACGTGAATTCCCCGCCCGTTGCTCATGGCTCCCCCGCCTCTTCTCCGCTGATGTTTACGCAACTTGGCCCACCGTCCTCGCCCCCCCGCCAGTGATGTCCTAGGGGCACGCACGGTTGTACGACCTCTCCCGTTGCCCGCGGGGGGGTCGTATAGCCCCCGTCCTTGGGGGGTCGTCGGTGCCCAGGGGGGGACGGGGTCGGTGCATTGACCCCCTTTATATTGCCCTGTATTTTCCCCCATCCGCCTCCATCCTGTTTTCGTCGTCGTCATCACCTTGCTCATCTTCCGATTCTTCTGAGCCAGGGTGCGGTGACTTCTGGAAGGCAGCTTCATGGTGATGCCGCTTTCCCCAGGGGTTGGTAGCGTTCACTGATGGCGTGGCGTGAACGGCCCCTCCGCCGACCTCCCCCGTCCAGGACGAGAAGATTCCGCATCCTCCCCCCCGTTTCTCCAGGCCTGGGTTCCCCTCTTCGCCAGCTCAAGCCTCCAGCGTCCCGCAGGCGAGCGCGTGGCTACACGCCCTCGGGTCCGACGAAGAGCTTCTCAGCAAGCTGCCGCCGGACATGCGGGAGCCGTTCGACCGCGAGCGGGCGAGGCCCGTGAGCGTCAACTCGTAGGGGGAGGGCGGTGTTTGCTTCTCACCCCCCCTCACGTTCGCCCCTCTTCCCGAAGAAGAATAAAAACGGCACATTGGCGATATAGTGTAGAGGCGCCGTGCTGCGATTGGCTCCCGTTGTGTGTCTTACAGAAGCGGCTAGAAGCCGTCAGGGATGCACACACAATGCGTTTGTCTAGTCTCCCCTTCCCTCTTCCTCCTCCTTCCCCTTTCTCCTCTTTTCGCCAGTGATGTGTTATTTCTTGGATGTCATTGTAAAGAGGGCCACTGGCCAGTCTCTGCCGCGTATTGCCGTGGAGTGCACTAGATCCATTGCATAAGCATGAAGTCTCGGAGCTCCGCGCGGAGTTCTCAGATTGGCGTTGGACCCGCTTGTTCAGCGATCCTTCTGGCAGCGCGATGCCTGTACACCCCAACCGTGCCTCCGCTCCTCTCTCCAACGTGCCTCGTTCTGCTGAGCCCAACGGCGGCTTCTCCATTCCTGTAGGACCACTCTTCGGGTGAGAAGGAGGTTGCGGGGCGAGTGGGTGCAGCTTTCGGTTTGCGATTGGTATCGGATCGGATGCGCGATTTATCTTTTGAGAGATCTCGGAGTCAATCGGCCCACCAATATCACTATGAAGACCTCTGTCGATCTCAAAATCCACCTGCCTTCCGATGCACTGTTCGGTATCACCATCAGCCCCCACTATCGATCGATCTCGCCATGAATCGATCTCACCGTCTGTGTACCCATCGATTTCACAATTGGTCTCACTGTATATACAGATACGCATGTATACATGGTAGCCCCACCACGGGAACCACATCTTCACACATGCAAGCCCGAGAGCTGCTGACGAAACGGTTCATTCATATGTCGATGTAGATATTGGTGTAGTGCTGTTGCAAGGGCGTCAGCAACGTAAAACAATCAGACAAGTGTAGAATGCCACCGGTGCTCAGCCGGTTTTTCGCATACGTGTTGATGTAGATGTTCATGCAGATGCTGATGTAGATGTCGACGTTGATGGCGATGACTAAGTTGATGTAGATGTTGATGTAGACGTAGGGTGTTCTTTTGGGCCATCGGCGGGTTTGACATCGACTCCATTCCAAATTGTTATTGGTGATTCCCATTGCTTCATACTGAATACCCTTGATTCCTATTGAATCCTAGTGATTTCTATTGGTTGCTATCGATGCCTATTTGTTTCTACTGGTTCCTATTGATTCCTAGCAATTCCTATCGGATCGCACTGATTCCTATTGCTTCATATTGATTCCTAGTGATTCCTTTTGATTCCTATCGGTCCCGATCGATTCCTAGCAACTTCTATTGATTCATATTGTCATGTGGATTCCTTGTGATTCCGTTTGGTTCCTAGTGATTCGTAGTCGTTCCTATTGATTAGTGGTTTCGAGTGAGTCCTACCGGTTCTTGTTGATTCCGATTGATTCCTACGGATTCCTATCGTTTCCGATTGAGTCCGACCGATTCCTGAATAATCTTATTGCTTAAAGAAAAAAGGGGGGAGAGAGAGAGAGAGAGAGAGAACGACAGAGAAAGAGAGAGAGAGAGAGAAACAAACAAGGAGCACGAGCGAGAGAGAGAGAGAGAGAGACAGGGGTGGAGGAGTAGGGGATCATTCTCTTCGCGCGAAGCTTTATGTTTTTTGAGCGTCTCAAGGGTTATGTGTTGCCCGTTGGGCTTGATGGGTTTTACACTGGCAGTCACAGGTGTCCTAAATGTTGGGCCACGACACATGTTACACTACCAAACAACAAAAACAACAGCAGACTAACAACAACCGGTGAGGTATCCCCCCCAAACAGACCAAAGGTTTCTGTGATCCGAGGCGGGAGGTCGGGGGCGGGAGGGCCGAGGAGGGATTGGCTTTTCAGTGACAGTGGCAGGTAATCTCAGTGTTGGGCCACGAATCCTGTGACACTACAAACATTAGCCTGGCGAGAGACCCAACCATATGCAGGTGTGAATACCGTCGTTGTTGGTATCGCCTTCGGTGGAACTCCTTATGGGGCCACGAAGCGCGTGAAGAGTGTGCCGACATGGGGCAGGGCGGAGCTCCCTATGTGGCTACGAAACGTGAGGGGTGTGCCACAATAGGGTGGCGCCGCCATGCGGACTGCGCCACTGGGACCCTAGGTGGAGCTCCCTATGGCCACGATGCGTGTGAGGGGTGTGCCACAAGTGGACAGCGCCGCCATGCGGACTGCGCCACTGGGACGTTATGTGGAGCTCCCTGTGGTTCCACGAAACGTGTGAGGGGTGTTCCAAAATGGCGCGGCGCCGCCATGCGGACTGCGCCACTGTGACCGCAGGCGGAGCTCCTTATGGGGCCACGAAGCGTGTGAGGGGTGTGCCAAAATGGCGCGGCGCCGCCATGCGGACTGCGCCACTGGGACGTTCGGTGGAGCTCCTTATGGGGCCACGAAGCGTGTGAGGGGTGCGCTAAAATGGCGCGGCGCCGCCATGCGGACTGCGCCACTGGAACCTTCGGTGGAGCTCCCTATGGGGCCACGAAACGTGTGAGGGGCGTTTCCAAATGGGGCGCGGCCGCCATGCGGACTGTGCCACTGGAACCTTCGGTGGAGCTCCCTGTGATTCCACGAAACGTGTGAGGGGTCTGCCAAAATGGGGCGGCGCCGCCATGCGGACTTCGCCACTGTGACCGCAGGTGGAGCTCCTTATGGGGCCACGAAGCGTGTGAGGGGTGTTCCAAAATGGCGCGGCGCCGCCATGCGGACTGCGCCATTGGGACGTTAGGTGGAGCTCCCTATGGGGCCACGAAACGTGTGAGGGGTGTGCCAAAGTGAGGGGGCGACGAGAGGAGGAAGGAGAGGGGGGAGGAGGAGAGGAGAGGAGAGGAGAGGAGGGGAGGGGAGGGGAATGGAGAGGAGAGGAGAGGAGAGGAGAGGAGAGGAGAGGAGAGGAGAGGAGAGGAACGCGGGAATCTTCTTTTCAAAACGAGGACCCAGCACCACAGGCTGATGGGGGACACCCACACATAAAATACATCATGTTACATATATATATATATACACATGTGTATATGTATGCTGATGATCGTACACATGGAAGTATGCGAAGAGGTAGTTAGATGGGGATCCATATTCACTTCTAGGTGAACAACAATGCTGGCGTCCCGATGCAATTCATCTCCCGAGTTGAATTGTGCGTTCCATGTTGCATCCACCAATTCGGCTAACACGCTACCAATCGGTGCCACGATTTGTCTACCCGCCCGTAACTGTACGTATACCAGTGTCAAGCTACATGCACCTTCAGAAGTTTATGCCTATCGCCCCTCGTATCTTAGCAGGCATGTAGGTATACCCGTATAATGTGACAAATTGTGCAGCCACCCAGAAGCGGGATAATCACGGAACAACGTCGGGACAATCGCAGGACGACCACGTAATATCCGCGGGCCAACCGCGAGACAACCACATCACAACTATGTGACATTCACGGGGCAGCCATGGGACAAACACCAGACAACCACGCGACACTTACGCGACAACCACCCCGCGGGACAACCACGGGACAACCGCAGAACATCCACGTAACAACCGCGGGACAACCACAAGACGAGCACGGGATACATACGGGACGATTGCGGGACAATCTCAGGACAACCACGGGACAGTGCGAGACAACATTGGGCACGGCGACGCATGCGGCAACTACGCGACAACCACAGGACAAGGCGGGGGCAGCCACGGGGCAAACACGGGACAACCACAGGATAGCCACGGGACAGTTCCGGAACACCGACGGGACAACCAGATGACAATTTTTGGGCACGCCCCAGCGCTACGGGACCACATTCATTTTGGCGTGACGTTGGTCTAGCTAGTGCACGAGTTTGCGTTGCTCCTATTTGCCCGCTCGCGCGGCGAGAACCGAAACCCAAAAAGGGTTTCCCACCTTGGGGACACCGTTTCTAGATCCCACTCCCCAACTCTAGATCTCACTCCCCAACCTCTGGGTATTGCGAAGCGACGCCCGCACGGTCCTCGACGGCGATGGGCTGACAAAGTGTTCTTCTGAGGGGCTACGGCCCCACCGCCGTCCTACGTAGTAGGCGCTCCCCGCATGCGCGTGGAGCGGTGTCGGCGCCCGTCCTGTCCGTCCCCAGCCTCCGAGTCCCGCAAGTCGTGACCTCGAAGTGAAAGTCATGACTGGGTGGTTCCCCTACGAGAGATCCTCGCAAAAGTCGCCGCCCCTTCCAATTGCCCCTCCTGCCTCCCCCCGCTGTATCGGCGCAGGGACATGTCGGGCCAATGGACCGTTGCGCTAGGCTCGAGGTGTGCTTGCGTCGTTGGGCGTAGATCGGCCGATCGGGAGTCGCGCAAGGCTCCCACAAATCCCACCTCCGTGGAAGGAGGAGTAGCAGGAGGAGGAGGAGGTGGAGGAGGACCAAAAGGAGGCTTGCTAGAGATTGTGCAACGCGGAACACGGGGAGGAGGAGGAGGAGGAGGAGGAGGAGGAAATTGAGGAACGGGAGGAATAGGAGGAGGAGGAGGAGGAGGCGGAGGAGGAGAGAAGGAGGAGGAGGAGGAGAAGGAGGGGGAGGAGGGGCGGACGGAGGAGGAGGAGGAGGAGAGGAGGAGGAGGAGGAGAGAGGAGAGGAGAGGAGGAGGAGGAGGGACGAGAAGGAGGTGGAGTAGGACAAGGAGGAAGAAGAGGAGGAGGAGGAATAATGACATGAGGAGTAGAGAGAGGGAGAAGGACGAGGACGAGGACGAGGAGGAGGCAGAGGAGGAAATAGAGGAGAAAAAGGAGAGGCAGGAAGAGGAAGATGAGGAGGAGGGGGAGGAGGAGGTGGAGGAGGAGGAGGAGGACGAGGAGGAGGAGGAGGAGGAGGAGGAGGGGGAGGAGCTCCTGGCGCGCCCCCTCGAAAGGCAGTCGGCCGCCCCAGCGCCTCAGGCGCCCGAGGCGGCCGCCCCGGCGCAGTCGGCGGCGGCCCCAGGGGCGCCAGAACGGGGCGCGCGGCAGGCGACAGCGGAGACGGCGTTTGTACAGGCCCGCTTGCTCCTCGTCCTCGTCCTCTTCCTCGTCCTCCTCGTCCTCCTCGTCCTCCTCGTCCTCGTCCCTCTACCTTCCCTTCTTCATTCCCCTCGTCCTCGTCCTCATGTGGCGGCTAACCCAGCCCAGGGGGGAAGTGAGAGGGGGCAGGCCTTCTCAGAAGGCGGCGGGTCTTCTCAGAAGCCCTCGCGCCTCCTGAGAAGTTGTTTGCGTCTTCGGGGAAGGCTTCACAGAGGGCTCGAGGTCTTCCGAGCCTTCTGAGAAGTCCCGCCCCCTCTGCATTCCCCCTGGGCTCGCCGTCAATTCCTGCTTCTCTCCTTCAACGGATCTCGCCACGTTTGCTGCACTGCATCTTCCCAAGCATCTGGTGTTCTCATTGCTCCTGCTCCCCTCTGAACCTCCATCCGACAGGGCTGAGGCGGAGCTCTAGTTTCGTCGAGGCCACGGTCCTGCTCTGCCGATGTATTACTGCTCCATACTGCTCATCCTTGGAATTTTGCTGTGCTTCAATTTTGTCAGTACAATGATCGGTGGGTCAAGCCTACCCGCCTTCTCCTCCTGTCCTGTCCTTACCTTTTTCGGCCGTTGCAAAGACTCGAAATCCGCATATCGAGCTTCGCGGCAAGGACCCGACCAGAACTTTCTGAATTTCTGCGTGCTCAGCTGTGCCCGTGGGCGCTCACCCGATTGGTCGCATCTCTTGCGATCTCACATGTTGGCTGCACGGAGTCCTTGATTCGATAGGCTTTCGGCCAGAACGCTCCACTGGTTCAGGGATGGGCCCGCTCCGTGTCTCCTTGGGGGTTCGAGGCTTTCCGTTGGGCTCGTCTGGTTGCACGTTGGCGGGACAATTTCGGGTCCCCGTCCACGACCCGCTGGACAAGCTCGGCGGTTGGCCTCCAGCCCCTTGCCACCGGCTTGATGTATAGGCTTTGGCGACTTATGCTTTACAGTCTTCGAGCTCTCTGGAGAGCTCTCTCTGGCGCGGTAGTTTTTTTTTGTAAAAACGGAGATATATATATATAATACACATCTGTGTATATATACACATATATATATATATAGATGTATGTATATATATATATATATGCACACAAATATGTGTATCTGTAAATCTATATGAACAAGGATTCCTGGAATCCGTGCCGAATTATTTGTGCCCCCCTGGGCCCCTTTAGTGTTTCCCCTGGGCAACAGGAGATGCCTGCGCCGGCGCCTGCCGGGAGCCCGTGGGGGCAGAGCTTCTGGGGCTCCAGCGCCGAGGAGCCTTTGCTGATGCTCGTGCTGCCGCTCTTTCGCCCCCCCCCCCCGCCCACTCTTTTCTTCGGTAGCAGATCGTGGGAGCCGTGTGTGTCTTCGAAATTGATCTTCAGGGTGCATCAGCGTGCGCTGTCGTGTGGCAATGGATGAGACAGCGCAGATTGAGCGTTGATTTATCTTAGGCTCGCGCCAACTTGCGCCGATTAGCGTCGATCAGTGTCGATGGGCTAGAGCCAGCAAAATGGCATGGGAGGCTCCCGTGAGAAGCCGCCGAATTAACCCTTTCCCCCTTCCCCATCCCCCGAAGGCGCCTCCACATCCTCCCCTTCTTCTCCGTCTCCTCCCTCCGGCCTCCCCCCTCCGTCCTCTTTCCCCCTCCTGTTTGCCTCCTCCCGCCTCCTCCCCCTCAATTTCCTGGGCTCTGGACCTCTCTTTCCCTCCGCCCCCCTCCCAAGGAGCGCCCCGACGAGCCCTGCGGCTCCTCCCCCGCCGCTGGCGGCCAGTCGCGCGGCGAGTACCAGCCCAGCGCCGCTCAGGTGCAGGATTGGTGGTGGCGCCTCGTCCCCCCCGTCCAGGGCCCATCTCGATCTGATCGGTCCAGTTCGATGTTCAGTATCGGTTGACCCATCCCCATCCCCACCAGATCATGGTAATCAGCTCAGCCCCACCATCCCACCACCCCAGTTGGGGATAGGCCCTTCGAAACCTCGCGGCAACAGCCTATGCCCCTATCGTGGTTGGATATATCGGCCAGTGGGGCCGGGGCCACGTCAGTGGGGGTAGGTATCGATGGGACGATGCTCAGATATCGACCCCGTCTGGTTCGATCCGATTCGACTCCGATGCTCCGACGGCCTGATGGGGTCCGAGGCGTGCGTCGCGCTGTCGTGCGTTCTGGCGCCCAGGGGGGCGCGGCCATCGGTCGCGCCCCATCGGCGCCTGGGGGTGCCGAGAGGGCTTGGGCCCTCCCGAGATGGCCGCGTTTCTGAGCCAGCCTGGGAGGAAAGGGGAGCAAGATAGCGTCGGCGGCGGCAGACAAGGAAGAGGTGGCGCTACCGAAAGCGGAGGAGGAGAGGAGGAGGAGGAGGAGGAAGAGGAGGAGGAGGAGGTGCCCAAGAGAAGAGGAGGAGGGGAAGAGCCGATGCTTCCCAGGCTCGATTCAAACGGAGCTGGCGCGGACGCTGGCTCGGGCACGCGGCGAAGGATGAAGAGGAACACATGACATGAGTGACACAGAATGTCACAGGGGTCGGCTGTTTGGACATTGGGGTGTAAGCTGCCCGCGCAAGGTCGGGCGTCAGCGCCCTCGTTCCCAATGTGGCGTGCCACGCTTGGGGGTCGCGCGAGCCACCGTGTAAGGACGCTATGGCATCGTGGGTAAGACCCCTTTCTTCACGTCGCTCAGAGGGGAGGCTTCTGGTCCTGGAGCCTGGTGCCTAGTGCCTCATCGGGCGCGAAACCATTAGGCGCTTCGATACTTCCGCCCAGGCCATGGCCTCACACTGCTCACGGCGGAGACCGCGGGGGCGGGAGAGGAATGGGGAAGGGAGGAGGCGGAGGTCAGGAGAGGGGGCAGGAGAAGCAAAGGGGGGAATGGGAGGGGCAGTTTGAGGGAAGCTGGGAAGAGACAGGGCGGAGTAGGAGACGGAGTGAGGATGAAGGCGGTAGAGAACCCCGAGCGCTTGCGAAGGGCAGCCGCGCGGTTCTGCTGCCGATTCTCACCGCAGCGCCTGGCTGATGATTAGTCAGGGCGGCCGAGCCCGCGCGGTCCCCGTGCGGAACTTGTTAGATTGCTGGTAAGCACTCATCTCCCCTTCTCGTTATCCTCCTCGCCTCGGCTCTCCCCGCTTCTCTTCGGATCTCTTCGCTCTCCTCCTCCTCCTCCACCATATCCTCCGATGTTTGCCGTAACCAGATTGGCTCAAGGCCAACATGGTTGCTCCGTAACTGCCTCAGCGGGGTAGGTTCCCATGCAGCTTCCATCAGCCCCTTCATGTGCGCTCCGCCTCGCCCAGGCCGCCTCGGCTCTGCCGTCGCCTTGGGGTACTGCTCGCTTCTCTGGCTCTTCGTGCTGCTCACGGCATGCCAGGAGGACCCTCAGCATCAGGCTCTGACATAGAGGAGCGCAGCGCCTCTCCGAGTGGTGAAGAGAGACGCCCTCGTAATCAACGTCGCCCCCCTGAAGACTACGACAGGCGCCCAGATCGTGACCGTCCCGCCCGAGAACGACGTGCAGATCGGGAGCGCCGAGACGAACGAGAGCAGCGCCCTCAGCAACCACGTGGTGGACGATCTTCTGGACGTGATGGTGGTCCACATGCTGCCGCGGCGCTAGGACAGGCTCGTGGTGCAACTGCCCCCCATGCCCATCGGTTCCCACATCGAGACAGCCATGCAGGGTATTGACCTCGCCCCGACCTTCCCGTCGCATGAGCTGGCGAACATAGTTACTCCTCCTGCAGACCGTCTCCACCGAGCGGAGCCCTGGCTTCAAGGACCTTCCCAGGGTGCTCAGCAGCGACCTGGACAAGTACCAGCACCTCAGCCTCCGCCAGGCGCAGGGCCTCGACAGCCAGGATCGCATCCACCTGGTTCTTCCGAAGCGCTCCATGAAAGTCTCTTTCAGCAGCTCACGGCTCATGCTGACACCGCAATGTCCGACTTCCGTGCCAACATTGCCCGAATTGTCGCGGAGGCCATCCAAGCGGAGCAGCAGTTTGTCAAGCAGCAGGTCAATGCAGTGGAAGGTAAGATCGCCGATCGGCGTCGTCGCTCTGGTAGTCTCGAACCGCGTACAAGATGATCACGCGCAAGCAATCAGCGAGATCATCCGGGTCCTCGCCGCTGCCGAGGCGCAGACCGCCATCCTTGATATCATCGCGGGGGCCCGCTTCGACCGTGCCCCCGACTCCTCGCTCTTCTTCATCGGTGCTCCTGGTTTGATCGCCCCGCAGCAGATTCAAGGTGCTTTTCAGGACTGGTGCCGCGACTCCGGTGTCGACTTCGCAGGGGCATACATGTGTCGGAGATGTGCCAGCCAAGCGATTTATCCTGCGGCTTCTTGGTGGTGCAGCAGCTACGACTCCCAGAGCCACTGCTCTGGCCAGGTGGGCTGAAGGTCGCAGAAGGCTCCTGGCGTCAATGCCAGTCTATTCCAACTGCTGGCCAACAAGTACCCATATTTGCATCGGCGGACAGGCCCCGACATATTCGGAGAGAGGTACAACCACGACTGCTTCACCTGCTTCTCAACTATGCCCACGAGTCAGTGGATCTCCACCCGTACCAGCAAAACGACGTATTTCAGTTGCTGGCGCACCGCTGGTTCGATGGGGTATCGGCGGAACCACACACACACATCAATAGCAATATTGCTCTAAGCTTCGCGCAGGCCAGGCAGCTCAATATTGACATTCCAGTTGTGGAACGGACATTGTACGACTTCTTCTCGGAGTCCAGATGCATGCCGCGAGATGCAACCTACATAGCGGAGCTTCGGCTAAACCCGTGCTGAAGGTCGTTTCCTGGGACGCGCGTGGCTTCTACAGTGTCAACCACAAGAGGCGGACGCAAGCGTTGGCACTTCTAGCGCCGTTCCTTCGCATGCGCTACACCAGTCTGCTCCAAGAGGTACATGGCTGTGATCAACGACTGCGGCGGCTCATTGGGGCACAACTGGATCGATATCATACATGCTCTTCAGTGGTGGGGCTAACGCCAGCACAGTTGGGGTCGCCATCCCGCGCCTTTGGTCTACGAGCTTGACCTGCTTGACCACGGCGAGTCGCCCCCCCCAGCTTGGCTGCCTGCGCGTCGGTCTCGGGCTCCTCCAGTTATACGTGCCCTTCCTCATCGTCCTCCTCGTCTTCCTCTTCTGTGGCTTCGCATTGCCCCGACGTGTCCTCCGTGTTCGGTCCTGGCGGGGGCGCTCGCCACATGCCCCGCGCTGCGCAGCCTGCTGCCCATGTTTCGCGGCGGGCAGGGGTGGCCGCGGAAGCTAGTGATCCCTGCGCATGGTCTCCGTCGCTCCCCAAGTTTGTCAACCCTGTGGACTCTTCCCTCAAAGCGGAACTCGGAAGTGCACTTTGTCTTGTTTGCGGGGGGGTCATATGGTGAAATGCGTTTATGACGCGGACTGCATCGCCGTCTTCTTCAACTGCCACAGTTTCGGCCTCGCCTCGGAGCATCGGGCGATCGCCGCGGGCGCGTGCAAGCGATGCCGCACATGGGCCATGGCGCATCCCTTACAGCGGCTTCCTCTCGTCTGGAGATTTCAGCTTCCACGACGAACGTGCAGCGTCGCATGTCTACCCTCGCCGATTCAGTTACATATCATGGAAGGTGGCACTTCCAAGCGATCGTTCTGGAGGCGTCTCTTTGGTTCCCCCGCGGAAGTTACGACATGCGAACCCGCGCGCGTCGACCCGCCTGCGCTCGAGCAGACGCGCATAGATCGGGCCTTCGCCATCTTGCCTCAGGCGGTCCCCAACCTCGAGATGCAGCTGACGGTCCTGGCGTATCCTGCCTCTCTCGGTGAGCGCCGTCTGAGCGATCGCGCGCTCTTGAGCCTCGTAATGTTCCGCGCCCCCCCCCCCCCCCTCCCCCCCCCCCGAAAATGCAGGGCGCGCGGCCCGCCCCCGACGCCCTCGCCCACGCGCCGCTGTGATCCGTGGGTTATTCGAGCACCTCATGGGGTGCCCCCGTCTTCGTCTGGTTACGCCCGGGCAGATCTGGAGAGTCACCAAACCAAATATGGTGGGTGCTGCTCGCCTCGCTCGCAAACGCCTCCCCCGCCTTCCTGGGGGCCAGAGGTGTCAGTGCCAGGGCGAGGTCCACATCCTTGCGATGAGGTGCATGTCGAGGGCGGCCCGGAGGCAGGCCCCCGATCTTGCGCACGCGTTAATCACGCATATTTCTCTTGTCGCCTTCTTTCTTCAAGTGTCGGCGGGCTCGCTTCGTCTCCCTTCTGAAGTTGAATTGGCTAAGATTCCCGGATGGGCGCGCCGCCGACATCTCGTCCGCCCGCGAGACAGGGCCCCTGCTCATGCCCGACGCGCTCCAGCCGCTGATCGAAGGGTGGAAGCGGGCCAGCCACTGGCGCCAACGGGCTCGCGCAAGAGCGCGGGCTCCATTTGCGAGAGTTCTTGTGCTTGTGATCATGCGCGTACCCGATTCGAAGGCGGCGGTCAAGTTCCCTCGCGCGATGCTTGAGGAGCTGCAGAGACACTGGCTGCCGATCTTTGCGCGGGAATCCGTGGACATGGGAGGCGCGCGGCACGTTGCTCGGCGGCGCGCCCCCCCTCCGCTCTCCCCGCCGACGGGGGGGGCGGTCGCAGCCCTCAAGCGCGTGGTTCGCCGCGCGCGGGCTTCGGCACCTGGACCCGAGCACCTTCTTTTATTTGCTTGGGTAGCTGCGCCAGGTGCCCTGGACGCGATGGAAGACATTGGCTTGCAATGTTTGGAGGCGGGCATTGCTCCTGTCTCCTTCAATCGCTCGCGCTCTCCTTCACCCCGGGAAGCGCCGACGAGATGGGCCGCGCTGCATGCGCGAGGTTGGCCAGGGCGTTGCGACCGATCAGTCGGACAAACAACGTAGGCGGCAATATTTCTGCTGCGGCAGGCAGTGAGCACACGACGGCCCCTGTCGAAATGCATGCGCGCTCTAGCCAACAAGGCAGCATCATATGCCGAAGCGTTTGTCACTACATCTCCGCCATGGGCATGTTCGATCGCCTTGCGGGTTTCGATGTGTCTGCTGCTGAGAACCTCCCTGTCCAGATCCCGTTCGGCATTGCGGCTGCCTTTCCGTCCCTTGGCCGCCAGTGGTCGTTTTCTCCCGCGGAGAATTGCAGATGCCTCAACGGCATCAGTCGCGGTCGGCGTTCAGGCCCTGCACTGCGCGGTCCAAGTTGTGGCGACCGTCGGCGGCGATTGCAATGTCGCTTGCTGCGCGCGCTCAGGAGTTGCCCGAACGCGCCCGCTTTGGACGGCATGGGCCATAATTATGGACGTCATCACACGAGCGATTGCTGGCACCATTCCGCGGGAGTCCCTTGGCACTGCCGCAGCGTGCGCTGGCGGTTTGGGACTTTGTCCCGCCCAGCTCAAGTTGTGGACCCCATTCTACCACATACTTCATCTCGCCGTGATCTACGGGCATCTGCACCTGAAAGCGAGCAAATGTGTCATCATCCCGCTGCGGGCACCAGTGGGCGACCAGGCCCGCGTGGTTATCCAGAATTTCCTAGATTCTCCCATCCCTGGGTGGTCGGGCTTCGCGATCTCTGACAAAGGCCTGTGCCTTGGTGGAGCCACGCATGAGCAGCAGTGGCTTAAGGCAGCTACAAAGTGGTGGGGCCGCATCGTTGCCGCGTCGCTTTTCTGGTGCCACCGCTGGCGCTCTGACCAGGCTGTAACCAACTTCGCCCATTCCAGCTCTCAGTTACTTGGCACTATTCTTGGGGATCCCTGTATCAACCGCTAAGCGGGGAACCCATGGCCTTCATCGCGTGCTAGGCATGCCTCCCATTCACTTCTGACCTGCAAGATCTGCTTACCTAGGGCCCCTGGTCGCCGAGTCCTACGCCGCGCCCCGTAAAGATGTTCAACGTGGGTGTCATGTGGTGGATGGCCAATGACGCGATCTTTGGGTGGAGGCGTTTCCATAGTGCACTTGAGGCAGCGGCGACACATGCTGTCTCTTCGCCGAACTTTGCTGCTGGTCGTTGGTACCCTTCCTCCTGGCAGTAGAGCTCGACCATTGTCCAGCGCTTCTTCGACCTTGACAGAGGTGTCTCCCCCCTGTTGGCCATGCGCGATCGTCCTGCCATTCTGAGCGTTGTTCGGGAGGCCCGCGCGCAATCGGCGCGGGCGACGCTTGCTCTACGGCGACTGCGTCCACAGCGGCACTTCGCCCAGCATTTGACGGTATCGGTCTTCATTGATCGCTTCCACCAGACCATTGCGGAACGGCTCTCCAAATGGCATGGCGTCGGAGTCGCATCGAGGGATCTGGATATGCGCGGGCCCACCTCAGGGTCACCCGCTCCCGACTCGCCAGCTTGAAGATGGAATCTCCTGCGCGCGCTGGCTGGTGGATAGCACGCGTCCAGCCGCATGCGCGGGCGCTCCGGCCGTGGACGATGCGTGTTTGGCTGCGCGGAACCAGGTGCTATTCAGCACTGTCTGGCGTGTCCTCGATTGCTGCACCACGCATGTCTCCCGAGGGCCATGGCGCATGGATCTGTCTTTGAGCGATTGGGACTGGGCCCGCCTGAGATCTACCACCACATGACCCTCACCAAAAGTCCCTCTGGGCTACTCTGCGGAGGTTGTGTCTCTCGTGTTATTTTGTTATGGAATTGAAGCATGCCCCTGGCGATCACTGTGATGATGACTACAACTTCCACCTTCGGGCCTGTTGTGCACCTACCGACAGGCTTGAGATAAGTGGCGTCAAACCTCGTGCCGATGGTCCTTACGTTCGACCTGATGCGCGGCCTGATCGACATCATGTGCATGCTGATCCCCGTTCTGCACCAGAACAGCGGGAAGGTACTGCACAAGTACTTCAGCCACCTGACGATGCTCCTGGATCGGGGATTCATGGAGCTCGTCGCCAAGGGCTGCCATTGTTTGGGGTCCTGGCGGGGGTTGGCTTTCACGTCAGGCAGACCCGAACGCCAGCCCCGCCTTGAGGCGCCAGATTCATTAGCACAGCACTAACCTTCCTCATCCTCGCGTTGCTGAAGGCACCCTCGGGACTGAAATGGCTCCCGCGTCGGAGTTGGTTTTAAACGTTTCGACGTATGCACCGCACTCCAACGAGCTCATTATCGACTACGGGTGTTGCTCTTGCTGCCACACGTGGATTTGCGACCTCCGCGTCTGCAGCTCTCCTCCCTGCCATCCACGATGGCCACGACTACAACATGAGCGACGCCACGCTCGTTGCCGCGAACATCCTCGGTTCCGAGATCCCCACGGGGCTGCCCGGAGGGACCCTCGCGGCGCCGCCCGCCGCCCCGGTGTCGGGCGAGGAAACGTCGCCCCTTTGAGGCCACTGCTGCTCCTCATCTCTTTTTATCATCTCCTCCTCCTCCTCCTCCTCGCCTCGGCTCCACTAGTTCGCCTTCGCCTCTCCTCTCCTCTCTCCTCCTCCTCTTCCTCCTCCTCCTCTTCCTCCTCCTCCGCTTCCTCCTCCTCCTCCTCCTCCTCCTCCTCCTTCTCCTCCTCCTCCTCCTCCTTCTCCTCCTCCTCCTCCTCCCCCTCTTTCTCGTCCTTCCCCATCGCTTCTTTCGCTCACCAGGCGATGTGGATCACCTCGGGCATTTGGCGTTTCGCTTATTGGTTCCTGCGTAGCGAAGTAACGGGTGATGGGCGAAATCCTGCATCACCTTCGCCATCGGGGCGCAGGGTTTCGGCCAGTCGACAGATGGGCACATCACGACACAGCCTGCCGATGTTGATTTGGGGGCGCGGGAGGTGCCCACACAAATCAGCGTATCATGTACAGGAGTTCGCTCATCATCCGAAAAGGGGGAACGCGCCGCCCCCCCTCGCCACAAAAAGTCAAGGAGGGCCGGGGAGCGCAGGATGCCATCGACAGGGCCAGGGCGAGGGTCGAGGCAGCGGCCGCGCCGCCGCCCCCGACGGCGTCCTTTGTGGTCCGGTCCACGGGCGCCGACGCCCTGCTGGAGGAGACCGGGCATTCGGCCCGACCACCCCCGGCTGCTCCTTCTCCCCGTTGCGTGGTCGCCGGCCCCCCTCCTCCCCGACTGGGTCGGGGAGAAGGGGAGGCCGGGGATCACGCAACGGGGGTCAGCGCTAACGAGGGTCAGCCCTGCCTCTCTGGTCGATTCGGGTTCGGGGGCCACGTGGGGCCGACTCCCCCTTTCCGCCCTTCGCTGCCCCGGGTTTGGGAGCGGCCAGGCGGTCTTCGGGGCAGAGCATTGGCTGGCCCATGTTTGTGTTGACCTGGGTCAGGGCGTCCCCGAAGTGCGTCTCGGGGGCGTTTAGGGGGTGTGAGGACTAGGCGTGTGTGTGTGTGTGTGTGTGCGTGTGTGTGTGTGTGTGTGTGGTGTGTGTGTCTGTGTCTGTGTCTGTGTCTGTGTCTGTGTCTGTGTCTGTGTCTGTGTGTCTGTGTGTGTGTGTGTGTGCGTGCGTGCGTGCGTGCGTGCGTGCGTGCGTGCGTGCGTGCGTGCGTGCGTGTGTGTGTGTGTGTGTGTGTGTGTGTGTGTGTGTGTGTGTGTGTGTGTGTGTGTGTGTGTGTGTGTGTGTGTGTGTGTGTGTGTGTGTGTGTGTGTGTGTGTGTGTGCGTGTGCGTGTTTGTATGGGTGCTTGTGTGTGTTTCTATATTTGCGCGTTTGTGTCTGTATTTGCGTGTGTCTGTGGCCCCTTTCTTCCCGCTCTGTTTTCAGTGTGTTGCCTGGACCCCCCCCGTCCGCGCACATGCCTCGGGCAATGAACCATGATGCGCCAGTCCCCCTCTTCCTGGCCTTCTTGTCGGCGCGCTGGAGCACCCCAGGGCTCCAGGGCTCATTCCGACCTGATCGCGGTTCTGGCTGACTCGATCCGATTCGATACCGACACTCAAAGGAGCACTTTCTGCCGCTACTTGCTTTCTGCCGCTACTGGCAAGCCCCTCCCCCCCTCACCGCGGTTCGAACCCCGGGGGGGGGGGCAGGGGCAAAGCAGCCTCCCACTCCGAGCTGGGGGGGGCGGGGGATTCCATTGCAATAGGGTCCAGCTCTAGTAGGGTTCTATCAGAGTTGGACTTAGCCTTTCTCCGTAGGATTCCATGAAGGCTGGATCGTGCCCCGGTAGGGTTGCATTAAGGCTGGATCGACCCTTCATACGTTTCTAGTAGAGTTGCATCCATGACATACTAGGATCAGATTCGAGATAAACCGAGCACTCGTAGGGTCCTATTTGGGCTGGATCCAGCCCATAGTAGGATTATAGTGAAGTTGGATCGAGCCCCCGTAGGTTTCTAGTAGAGCTGGATCCAGCCCTGGTAGCAGTATTCGATTCGAGCTGGATCGAGCCTTTGTAGTATTCCAGTAGAGCTTGATCCAGCCCTCGTAAGATCCTTTAAGAACTGGAAATCGATGTTGTAGGTTTCTTTCCGAGCATGATCGAGCCCTAGTAGGATTCGGTTTGCGCTGGACCCAGTCCTAGAAGCAGGGCTCGATTAGAGCTGGATCGAGCCTTTGTCGGGTTCTACAAGAGCTGGATCCAGCCCTACCAGGGTTCTACTAGAGCTTGGCGCAGCCTTTGTAGGATTCGAGCTTGATCGAGACCTGGTAGGATCCTAGTAAAGCTGGATCCATCCCTTGTGGCGGCATTCGATAAAGCCAGTTCAGCACCGCCCCCTTTTCGAACGGGGTGGGGGTGGAGGGGGGTTCTGCCTCCCCCCTCCCCGGTTTCCAGGAGGGAGGGGTTCCCCATCCCTCCCTCCCTCCAGTTCCTACGAAATTGGGGTGGATTCTGTCACCCGCCCTCCCCCCTGGTTTCTCGGAGGGGTCGGTGGGGATTTTCCCCCGGTCAAGCGACGGTAGATCGCGTTCCCTCCGACATTCCGAATATCCATCCCATGAGGCCCGATGATCGTACGGCGCTGTTGTGAATTCAGGCGCAGCCGATGCGATTCGATTTCGACTGCGTGCAGATGCAGCTCGATCCGACGCACGTCCCGATTCGATTCGATTCCCCGATTCGATGTTGATCAATTCTGCATCCAGGTGTCCCTAATGGAGCCGATGCAGACAGGGTCGGAGGATCGCGGCGCATCGCTGGTGCATCGGCGATGCAGCGCGATCGGAGGCCCATTCTTCTCCATCCAGCCATTGCCGATGCATCGGCGCTGTCGCGCGATGCTCTTATCCCATCTGCTCTGGCCCCACCCCCGGAGGCCTCCAATTACAAGCCGATTGTTGAAGATATAGCTCTGCTGGATCTCCAGACCCTCCGCTACTTGAAGAACCTTTCTACTTCAAGGATGGATGGCTTCCTACTCTGATCGCCTGCCACTTTGGCGGGTTGCATCTTCATGGTTCTACTAACTTTGCCGGAATGGCTTATGCTGATACGCGCACGTGTGCACTAGGTGGCTCCTGGGTGATCAGGGACACCAGTTGCTTGCAGGCGGCTGGTTGACTGTACCCTGTTTCTGCATCTGTCCCGAAGGAGAGCATAGCCAAGATCCTGGCCGTGAAGTGGTCGTCCACCTCCGGCGAGCTGCTGGACATCGACGCGGCTGCCGACGCGTACTCCAGCTTCAACAAGGCAACGGCCAAGGCGATGGCCAGCGGCGCATCCCCAGAGGATAGAGACGCGCTGGAAAGGCTGGAGCCGAAAGAGGCAGTCCTGGAATTCCTGGCCGCCTTCAGCAGGCAGTCGAGGAAGCACAGCTCCCGCGTCTCGGCGACGACGGCGAGCCTGCAGAAGTGCAAGTCGTGGGCGACCTCGCTGGGCAGACACAGGAGTCGTCGGACGGGGCTGGGACGAGGAGAAATCCGTTTCGGAGCGTTTCGGAACGCTCTCAGAGCGCTCCGGTACGCTCTGAGAAGGTCGCGGCGCCCAAGACATCCTCCAGAGCCGCCGGATCTCAGAGATTCTCGATGTATCTCAACCTCGCAGGCATAGAGGTTGACACCACCACCAAGATCGGCGGTGTGCCTCCACCGAGGGAAGACGATTCCGATCTCGGCGATGGTGGAAATGTTCTGGCTTCCAATGTGTCCGAAATATTACCACCAACACCGAAATTTAGATCATCTTCCCCATGTGGAGGCAAACCCACTGTGCTGGTGTTGGTGCCATTTTCAAAGCCTCCAACAACCGGATGTGATCCTCGTCCTGGCTTCGTCTTAAGTTGGGCGGCGTCAGCTGGCCCACCCCCCGCCGATCCCGGCCAGCCCCCTTCCCGGCCCAGGATCGGCGTGCAGGCCCTCCTGGCCTGGCCAGGACGGAGGGGGCGCAGGCGCAGGCTCTGCCCAGGATGGGCCTGGACAGGATAGTGGACAAGGAGGAGGAGGAGGAGGAGGAGGAGGAGGAGGAGGAGGAGGAGGAGGGGGGTGGAGGAGGAGGAGGAGGGGCGGGGGAGGAGGCGGAGGAGGATGATGAG